TATGCTATTGAAGGATATTATAAATAGTATCTTGACATAGTAGAAGCTGCAAAGTCATTTCTATATATGAAATGTCATTTAAGGTCAAGGCTTTTGAATTGTGCCATATTTGATGATTGACTCCTCAAACACAAAGAGACTACCAGAAACCTTTCATTTTTAATAGAAGGAGTACAAGTTTTTGCTTGAAAATGACCAACAACTTTGGGGTTGAAGGCAAAATAATTACTGATAATTAGCTGGAAAGTAAATCAAGGGCTGGAAAAATAGAAATAGAGTAAGTAGAAAAGAGAGGTCTGAGTACAAGCATTAAAAGATTATACAGACATATTCAGCTCAGAGAAAAAAGCAAGCATTCTTGGCAATAAAATTAATTGCTAGTGACATGAGAACCAGAGGAAAGATGCTAGTGCCTCAGGGAGTTATAATAAGATGGTGAAGTAATGTCAGGCACTGATACAAATATTTTTAATCTGCAAGAGAGCACAAGGTCTACTAGAATACAGATCTTGGGAAGGAGTGTTGGCTACTGTGGCTGAACGTTTGTAAGCCTTTCACTCTTCATTGAGCAGTTCACAATAGATCAAGTCATCAGGGTGTTTCTAGGCCAGATCCCTGCCTTTAAAAGCATGATTCTATTAAGGTACCTGTACTGTGTGCAAGAACGAAGTTAAACCTTGTAGACAGAAAAGTATAAAGTCAAGTTTTTATGCCTTTTAGATAGAAAAGTAAAACTCAATTTTATTTATTATTATTCTTTAGATTCATTCCAAAATTATACATTATATGAATATACTGTTTTCATTGGTTTTAGTTCAGAGGACATTTTTTTAAATTGTTAAACCTTTGGGTGACAATGAGTTCTTGTTAGGAACATTTCTAGACATTTCACATGATTTCATATTACTCAGAACAAATGATAGTCACCCTTTAAACACTAAGCAAATCTTTCATAGGTGATTAAAGTACCATAATCTCAAATCAAATATTTATTTGTGGTATACATTACTAATTTGATAGTATCTCAGTCTATCTCTTTACATTTGCTCTGATGGCTGGGAGAAGTGGAAAGTTGCTTTCAAAGGAGAAGCACACAGTGGTAATTGTAATTATTCTGTATTTGCTAGAACCTAAGATAATGCAACAGATAACCAGAATGCAATGTAAAAGAAGGGTCAGAGTTTCTATGGTGACTCCTATTTGCTAAAACAAGATTCCCTGTACATTTATTTATTGAATTACGCAACAAATATTTTTGGAGCACCCACTCACCATGTTTCAGGTGTCCATTGGGATCTGGGAAAACAATGATGAATATTACAGTCATGATCTTTGACCTGAGATTCATCCTTAGGATCAAACAGTAGACAAATGAGTTAAACTTTGTTTAAAGTATTCTGACAGTTATAATTAAGCTACAGATAGAGGTACAGCTGTCAGGAAAGGCACCTGAAAGGTGGTATTTAAGTATAGACTTAGGACAGGATGAAGCTGCCACTAGAAGAAGGGAAGAAGAAACCTTCCAGGTGGCAGCAGAAGCATGTGTAAAGGGACTGAACTTTGTGTGTTCAAGTCACCAGAAGAGCACCAGCATGCTGCAGCTCCATGAACAAACCAGAGAGGGTAACACGATGAGGCTGGAGAGCTAGATCAAAGCCCAATGGTGCAGAGCCTTGTATTCCCAGGGGAGTATTTTGTGCTAAAGAAAAGAGAACCCACCTGTATTAGTCAGTTTTCACACTGGTCTAAAGAACTACCTGAGATTGACTAATTTATGAAAAAAAAGATTTAATGGACCCACAGTTATGCATGACTGGGGAGGCCTCAGGAAACTTACAATCATGGCAGAAGATGAAAGAGAAGCAAGTACGTTCTTCAAAGGGTAGCAGGCAAGAGAGTGAGTGAAGGGAGGTGCCACACTTTTAAACCATTAGATCTCATGAGAACTCATTAACTATTATGAGAACCGCATGGGGGAAACTACCCCCATGATCCAATCACCTTTCACCAGGCTTCTCCCTCGACACGTGGGAATTCTAATTCGAAATGAGATTTGGGTGGGGACACAGAGCCAAACCATATCACCAACTAAATCATTTTAAAGCAAGGGAGCATTGTGTTCCAATTTGTGTTTTAGGAAAATGATTCTTGCAGCTGTAGAGGATCTATAGGAGGGCAGCAAGGGGAAACAGGAAGATTGACATGAGACTGATGCAGAAAGACAGATGTCATATGGGAGGAATAAGGAATATAATGTTGAATCCAAATCTGTAAGACTTCCTGGTGGGTTGGAGTATAGGGTAAGAAAAAAGGAGACCGTAAGCATGATTCTGGGTTTTATAGCCAGCAGAGAATGGTGCTGCCATTTATGGAGATGAAATAGACTAGAGGGACATGGGCTAGGTTCAAGGGAGGAAATTAAGAGGACATTAGAAACATATTAATTATGAGACCTCTTACTTCTTTGAAATGTGTATACAGGAAGGCCAGCCTTTTGATCTTGCTTATCTTTTCTTCCATCACAGTTAGAAGCACAGCTTTAGGAGTGAGAGCTGGAACAAATACTGGTTGTGCCTCTTACCATAATTGGTGATGTGACTCTGAGCCAAGGGACTGACACTTTCTGAGCCTCAGTTTCATTTATAAAGTTGGGATAATAATAGTACCTAGCTAATAGGGTGCTTTTAAAGATTAAGTAGATAATTCACGAAAATAAGGTCATTCATGCAGCACAGTTCCTGTCACATAGTAATAACTGTGCAGGTAGCTGCTGCTACTGTAGCTACTACTCTGAGGGCTTCCAGAGTTATTCTGTTCTTTGTCTTTGTTTATTTCCCCTCCCTCCCATTCTTCTTTTCTTCCTTTCTTCTTCCTTTCTCCTGTCTTTCTCACAGTGGCTGTCTATACAGTTAGACTGTTCATTTGGTGTTGGTAGAGAGATGGGGAAATACACAGGGATGGAAAGTCAAAACCTGGTGCGCCCTTCTGTAGTGCAGCATTTCAATGCTAAGGAGGCTTCCAAAGTCATTTCACAGGTTGTAAGGAGTTTAACAAATATTTTCATTACGAAAATACTAACAAAGGAGTTTTCACTATGGCCAAATAACCGAAATTTAAAAAAATCCACTGTATTTCTGAAGCTCAGCCTGCATGTTTTATTTCTCCTTTTTAAGGGTTGAAGTGTAAACTTCATAGGCTTGAAGGTTAATACAGTATGTTGATTTGATCAAAATATAACCCTTCGAAACATCTGGGTTTAGCAAACATGAGGTTCAAAGGATAGTTCTGATTGCAAATCTCTAATACACTGAGCCATAAATGGTTGGAGAGATTGACTAAGTGCCATGTTTATTCAGGTATTGGAATTGCCTAAATGTGCTTTGCTATATAGAGAATGACATAGTCACCCCAGTGGCCAGATGCCCCATTTAGTCAATATCATAGAGAAAAAAAGCAACTAAATAAATGTACCTTTGAGAAAACTAGTAAATTTAGGCACTGAGAAGAGCTTGTAAAATTAGTAAATTTAGGCATTAAGGAACTTGAAATTCCTTATTGGGGTCATTGGAAAATGAGTGTTGTGTGTATGTAGATACTCCTAACAAGTTCCTTCAGAAGCTCAATGTTGCTTATGGAAACAATTTGTAGTAAAAGAGTACTTCTTGATTTTATTTTATGAAAATGTAAACTCCTAATTTTCCTGAGATTAGAGGAAAACTATGTGCTTTTCAGAATCTTGTAATTTTAATATTTTTGTAAGTAATGATTGGGTAATGAATACATGTTATTTCACAGCTACAATCACAAACTTTCTACCTGATAAGTATTAAAGCCTTGCACCTTTCTGCAATATCCCAATGAGTTCAAAAGGACAAATGTCATACTTAATCCTCATTGCAAATAAGGAAAAGTAAGATTCATTGAAGTTTAACTTTGTGACACAGTGATGAATGCATGCATCACACACATGAATAAAGTATAGGTACTTTTGTTCTTGCTTCACAAATGTGGATTGATTTCATAATGTACATTTTCTAAGAGCAAAAATGTTTGTATAAATGAGAAGAAAACGTTTTCCTTAAAATTCTGTCTCAGAACAGTTAGTGCAAGTTTACTAAGATTATTAATTTGTTAGTCTGGTTCTGCCCCTTTATAATAAAAAAAATTGCCAAGTAGCTGCATATAAGCAATGTTTCATCGAGGAAATATAATGTTAAAGAAACAGTGTACCTTCATAAGTTTTACACTTAGAATTCTTACATTTTTAGGAGAGAAGTTTCCAGAATGAATTATTCAGTTATAGCTAATTACCATTAGATATGATTCATTTTTTGCAGAGTATTAGTATTCTTGGAACAAATAAATTAAAAGAAAAAGATTAGGGAATAAAATTATATAGCTATATTTGGTTTTCAACTTAGAACATCTTTTTCTTCATGTTAATTTCATGCTAAGCTTAGAAAATGGCAGCCTTCACAGTAGCTTTTGATGAAGGAAGTGAGGACACAATTGTCCTCTTTCTGTTCCCAGAGAGCTCTGACTACATTATTGCAGGCTGAGAGAGAAGAAGCGCCTGCTCTCCATTCCTTTGCTGGATTCTTTAGCACAGGAAGGTTTAATCATTTCATCTTGGTAATGTGCCACCTACTACCTTTAACTCTACTTATCCAGCTGTTAGAGGCACAAGTTGAGAACACTAAAAACAGTGTTTTTAAGCATAGTTCAAGAGTGCCACTTCAGAAATTGAAAATAAACTTGTGAAACTGGTTGGTAGACTTTAGAAATCCCCAAGAAAGAAAAGAACCATTTCGTGTCCCCGTAATTCTTCTCTTGCTTTACTTGATTTTATGCAGAAATAGCCAAAAATTAAGTGCATTGCATCACTGCTATAAAATTAAGAAAGGTAGGCTACATTTAATCCTTTAGGAAATTGTTTTCTTAATTTCTTCTTGCCACCTAAACCTCAGGGTCATTTTGTTTCACCATCCATGTCCTCCCAGGTGCTAAATCCAGCCAGCTTTCCCTGGTTCCTGAATTTCTGTTGAGTAAGATTCCTACCCATTCTCCATGGCCATTGGTTCCTTCAGAACCATATTGAAGTTTATCTTAAATGACGTAACAGATGTAAACTGCTTAAAATAATCATAGACACAAAGTAAGTGCTATATTCATGTTAGCCATTTACTCCCACTATAATATCATATGCTGTCCATGAGAGCCAGGATTTTTATCTGTTTCTCGTTGATGTACCCTCAGTGCCTGAGCACAATAAATATTTATTGAGTGAGGGAAAAAAATTCTTCCAATGCTATTATAATGGATCTCTTTGTCTCTTGTTGCCTTCCCCTCTGACCTGGATACAGCTTGTTTCCAAAATTACCTAAAAATACAAATGTGATTTTAGACTGGGCGCAGTGGCTCATGCCTACAATCCCAGCGCCTTGGGAGGTCAAGGAGGGCAGATAACTTGAGGTCAGGGGTTTGAGACCAGCCTGGACAACATGGTAAAACCCTGTCTCTACTAAAAATACAAAAATTAGCTGGGCCTGGTAGCGTATGCCTGTAATCCCAGCTACTCGGGAGGCTGAGGCAGGAGAATCGCCTGAACCCAGGAGGTGGAGGTTGCAGTGAGCTGAGATTGTGCCACTGCACCCCAGCCTGGGTGACAGAGTGAGACTCTGTCTCAATAAATAAATAAATAAATAACCTTTAAAAAAAGTCTTTCCTCCCTTCTTCTGCCATAATTTTCTAAAGTGCAAATTTGATGTTGTCTCTACTTTATAACTCTCAATGATTTGTTTTGTTTTGTTTTGTTTTTGAGACAGAATTTCTCTTTTGTTGCCCAGGCTGGAATGCAATGGTGCTATCTCAGCTCACTGCAAACTCCGCCTCCCAGGTCCAAGCAATTCTCCTGCCTCAACCTCCTGAGTAGCTGGGATTACAGGTGCTCGCCACCACACCCAGATAATTTTTGTATTTTTAGTACAGTCAGGATTTCATCATATTGGTCAGGCTCGTCTTGAACTCCTGACCTCAGGTGATCCACCTGCCTCTGCCTCCCAAAGTGCTGGGATTATAGGCATGAGCCACCGCACCCAGTCTCAATGTTCTCTTGTGTGTTAGACACAGGATAAAATTAGACTCTTCTCATATTGTACAAACTGTGCAGGTCTGACCCAGTGCAATCACGCTGCCTACTCAGGATTCCTGCACATGCCATGCTACTTCATGCACACTTTCCTGTCTTCCTCAATCCCCTGCCTCTGCATGAGATTCAGTAGATATAGCACATTTTCTTCCTGACACCTTCTACCCCTATCCTCAGGGTCAGACACCTCCTCTGTGTTTCCCATAACTACTCATATTTTGATCTCAAAGCTAGATTCAGAACGTTGATGTATATTGATTTATATAATAATGTAAATCATTATGCCAATTGTAAAATATTATATATGTACATATAACTATGTAAATATATAGATACATACATGTACACAAATACATGATTGCTTACCAAGTGATGTACAGGGCAGAACAAATATTTAATCATATATAATATAATGTAAAAGGTTGTTAGAATATTATGCAGTAGAATATGCTACATAGGTACATATCCCTATGTTATATGAAAATGCTTATAAGTGCTATATCATGGTACAAATTGCTCCTCAAATCACACTGATAATTTAAAAATCTTTTATTCTGATGTCATCTTTTGTTTAAAGTGGCTTTCACAAGCTGAAGGATAGTTTCATAGGGCCATGATTTGGCACAAGATACTGTACCAAACCCTTCTAATGACTTTACCTTTAAACTGGTTATTATTAAGTGACTTATAGTCCCAATTGGTAGAAAATTGCTGTTAACATCAGTGATGGCCGGGCGCGGTGGCTCATGCTTATAATCCCAGTACTTTGGGAGGTTGAGGTGGGTGGATCACTTGTGGTCAGGAGTTCGAGACCAGCCTGGCCAAATGGTGAAAACATTGCTCTACTAAAAATACATACACACACACACACACACACACACACAGATTAGCCAGGCATGATGGCACACACCTGTAATCCCAGCTACTCAGGAGGCTGAGGCAGGAGAATCACTTGAACCCAGGAGGCAGAGGTTGCAGTGAGCTGAGGTCGTGCCACTGCACTCCAGCCTGGGTGACAAGAGTGAGTGAGACTCTGTTGCAAAACAAAACCAAAAAAAAACACAAAAAGCATCAGTGATAGTGGTCATGGTGCTAAATCTACTCAGCTTTTCCTGAATGAAAGCAATTACATTCAAACTATTTCTAAGACTTAAAAAATATATGAGACTTATATATTCAGTATCTCTATTTATAGATGAAGTCACAAAAATTATTCACTGGAATGCAAATTTTAAGCAGGTGAATCTATGTACTTCAGGACCAATGAGAAGTGAGCTGTAGGCAGTTTGGCCTTGAACCCTGGCTCTGCCAAGTTTTAATGAAACTTTCTGCTTATCTATTAACCAATCGAGATGCATTTCACTTTAACAATTGGTGTACTGAAACTCTGTACTGGAACTCCTTATATACATTCGTGTTTACAAAGCTTTCCAACTGCAAGAGCTGTTTCATTCATATTTGTGTTTCTTCTTCAGTGCTGAGTCGCCTTAGTCACCACATGGCATTTAGTGGGAGGTCAATAAATATGTGTGGAGTGAGTCATAAATAAATGTAAAGCATAGGTGAATTGTTGATTTCTATTTTCTCTTAAAGTTGCATGTGGAGTAACTTCAGAAGTCAAGAGAAGAATCTAAAGAAAAACGGAATAGGCTTACCAGTTAAAAATGGTGTAAAAATAAATGGAAGCTTGTGCTTACTTTCTATATCTTTCAAGGACACATAGGTGTATATGGACATATACTTTCCTGCAGTTGTTTGCATATACTTTTATGGTGACATCAAACTCTTCCTCTTTGTAAATGAAGTTGTTCTCCTTATTTGTACACCCCTAGGTATGTTTCTAGCGTAGAGATTTCACTTCCAGATATTCCAGCATTTGTAGATGTTGCCATTTCTTTGACTTGGTTCATGTAGTAAGCTCATGTTCTGGATGCTGTTGAGAATGGAGTGAGTTTATACCCTCGTCGTAATGGACTCACTTTACTCTCCCATTTCCCCGCATCACTTTGATAAAACTGAGACAACCACCAGGTCCCTTTCCTTTCCCTTCCCCATCTTCACCTCCAGCCAGTATGTATGTGGTAAAAGTAAACATTAGAGAGTCAGTTAAACAATTCATGTCTGTTTCATTTAATGTAAGACAAAGGTAGCACTAAGAGATAAAGTGGACTAGCAAAGCATTTTATACTAGATTAAAAAAATAAGTGATGTTACTAAATGATGTCGTAAAGTAAACCTATCTGGAAATATTACTGAATCGCTTGTTTTAAGATGCTGTCTTAGGGGTCTATATTTTTTACCATGTTGTTTAAATATTCACTGTATGAACACACATAGTGAATGTAGTGAAAACCATGTGTTATAGAGTCTTTAGAATTCTAGATACCATATAGCATTTGATTTTTGATATTTCAGGGAATGGATTTTTTTACAAATAGAAGATTCCTAAAGTTTTAATGTCTTTGATCATAAGTGTATTACATTCATGCATAGTTTTTAAAATAGTCTTACTACTTCCCCCAAAATTTCAAAGCATTGTAGGATTTTTAAAGAAATTTTTTCTATGGAAAAACTGAAGTGAACCGAGTTGATGTAAATTTTAAAACCTGGATTAAAAATGTGTTCAACACTTTGATATTAATATCCCCAAGCATTGAGAGTGACACAAACAGTTGTAAATGCAGTGGCTTATCTTGTGGGTTTCTGAGACTGATAATTTTTTTTTTTTTTTTTTGAGAGGGAGTCTCGCTCTGTTGCCCAGGCTGGAGTGCAGTGGAGCGATCCCGGCTCACTGCAACCTCCGCTCCCGGGTTCAAGTGATTCTCCTGCCTCAGCGTCCCTAGTAGCTGGGATTACAGGCGCCTTCCGCCATGCCTAGCTAATTTTTGTAATTTTAGTAGAGACGTGGTTTCCCCCTGTTCCTAGTGGTCCGCCAGCCTCGGCCTACCAAAGTGCTGGGATTACAGGCGTAAACCTCCGCGCCCGGCACCTGAGAGTTGAAGAACTAGATGCAACAGAGCAGAGCGGAAGCATGTGGTGTATACACTGGATGTGGCTAAGGGCTCTTCTGCAATATTCTAGAAAAATATGATTCCGCCTTGTTAGGTAGTTGCTTATTTCATAGTGATTGTATCACCAAGCCCAAGTTTCCTTAATATAAGCAGTAGATCAAACTGATTAGGCCGCCTTAGAATCTACCAAAATAGCTAAATACAAGTTTTGCTATATTCTTCTTTCTTCCTCAAGGACAATATATTACATAGACCCTTCAAGTATTTTAATGATCATTTAGTATATTTATTAGTTAGAATATAGAAAGCATTTTGTATACATTTCAATTTTTTTCCTGTCAGTTGCCCTAAGGCGGGCAGATATACGTACACATTTTCCTTCTTTCTTTCTGTTTCTTCTTTCTTTCTTTCTTCCTTCCTTCCTTCCTTCCTTCCTTCCTTCCTTCCTTTCTTCCTTCCTTTCTTCCTTCCTTCTTTCCTTTCTTCCTTTCTTTCTTTCTCTTTCTTCCTTCCTTCCTCTCTTTTTTTCTTTTTCTTTTCTTCTTTCTTTCTATCTTTCTTGTTCTTTTTCTTTCTTTCTCTCACACACACACAAACACACACACACACAAATACACACACAGACTTTTCCCGTGGGATTCCAGTGTATTACTATTTGGGAACCAGTTTCATACTTTAATAAGTCAATAAAATTTTCCTGGTACTAGTGCCAAAATTAGCCTCTTAGGAAATAATATAAAAAAAGGCTGAAAATATTTCATTACATTCTGACTTACTCCTAGATAGTAACATGATTCAGCATTTAATTCTCATAGCAATTAAGTGCCTGTATCAGATGTGATTCTTCTGTCATCCCCATTTCTTTCAGTGGTATGTCTGTTCGTTCCACCGTCTAAACATCTTGTAATTCTCCTCCCCCATCCTCTGTCCAAATAG